AAACAGGGAATAATAACAGCTGCTACCCGGGAGCTTCTGTGAGGTTCAAGTGAGACACTGCGAGTGAAGCCCCAGCGCAGTGCATGGTAAGGGCAGATGCTGGATAACACTGACTGCTCTCATCATCCCCGTCATCATTCATCATCGTGATTACAGAGGAGAAAGCTGAACCCTGCAGCCCTGACGGGGTCCTAACAGGCCCACTCCTGCCACCAGCCCTTTCCAAAGCATAGCCTTATTTCCGGCAAAGCAGAGAAGTGGCAAAGAGCAGGGCCTCACACAGCCCCACACGTCCATGTACAAGCTTCCCAGCCCTGTTCTTCAAGAGCCCTCAGAGCACGCCAGCCTGTTCCACTCCAGACCTGAAAGATGACAGCACGGCCACTGGCTGCGCCACGAAGGACTGCTGCCTCCTGTCCCTGCAGCCTCCACCCACGGCGGAGCTGGGGAAGCCAAACTGTGGGGTGCTTGGGTCCCTAAAGGCCAAGGATACTAAGAAGGCCCAACAAGGGCATGGAGGCTACAGGACAGCCCCAGGCACCCTGTGTAAAAGGTGAGCAGAGGGCACACCAGATCCACCCAGTGATTCTGAACAGCACGCCCTGTCCTCAGCCCCACAACCAGGAGCTGCATTCTCAAATTCAAAGAGCCAAAACCAAGGCTCAAGCACAAACCGGGCCAGGCTCCCCCGCACTGCCATGATACTCCTATCCCAAGGTCAAGAGGACCAGGGGCTCTGACAGGCTCTGCTCACACCAGTGACTGATGACACCCTACCTGTCTACAGCTAAATAAAGGGAGAAACACATAGGAGGCGGGGTTTGATGGTTCTGACCCAACCCCCAGGCCAAAATGCAGGCAAGCACCCCGCCCTCCTAGAACGGCTTACTGTCAGTGCCCTGTAGGCTACTCCTCTGCCCACCGAGAGCCCTGCCTGTCCCCAGCTCCACAACCAACCCCGATCGTTTGTCACAGCACCATGTCCCATGGATTGCCCAGAGCTGCTACACCAGGCGTGTTATCAATGTCACCCCGCTTAATCCTCAAGCATCCCCACAGATACTCTCTATGGTGAAACAGAATTCCAGTGCAGCACCTGAGTAAACCCACATAAAGCTAACCAGCAGGCTCCTCAAAACCCTGGAAAGCGGGAAGTCCCACTCTGAGAGTTCCGGAAGCTTCTTGCCTCTACAAACTCCAGCCCCAAGATCAGGATGCAGCACAGGTGCCACCACTGGGCTTTCAGCCTCCAGTCTAAGAACCCACAAACATGGAGATAGAAACTCCAGTCCAGGTTATAGCAGCACTTAGAAACTCCAGTCCAGCTTACAGCAAGCAGTGCTTAGAACTGTGCTTCACCAGTACAAGGGTCAGAACCACAACTCAATGTTATGAAAATCCCCTCTTGCTCCAGCAGATACCTCCAAGATAGGATGCCATTTCCCTTCCTCAAATGAGGCACTCAGTGGCTTCCTACTCGGCACCTGCTCACTGCAGGATGATCTGATTTTCTGCCCGGGTTTCATAGCAAGTTCACCTCCCTTGGCTGCCTTCACTGCCTCAGAGCTCTTCTGGGTAGGAGAGCTCTCGGTGCTTCCCCAGCCTGAAACAGGCTGGAACGCTACTGCAGTAACTATGGAGAGAAAAGGACGCAAACTTCAACGAAGGCAGCCACAGCAGGAACTCCAAAGAGGAGACCGACCCACACAGGACGCTGAGGTACCTACTGGCTTCTGGCTTGGTGGACGTGGACATGTATCACACTGGTGACAGGCGCTCTGTTCTGCACATCAGATCAGCAGATGAGGAAAGTTACACAACGCCCAGGAAGTGCATCAAGACTGTGCTGTTTTCACAGGGGCACACTATGCCAGCTGATAGGCAATATTCGTCTTCTAAAAGCCAAGCTCCTCAAAACAGGCACACAACTGACCCAGCCATCACTTTGGAAGCTCGGTCCGAGGCACTAGCATTCCAAGATCCTGCCACACGAGCCCACCCTAATGGCACTGTCACAGCAGCACTGCCCCGAAGAGGAAGCATCGGGCACTGGGCTTGCGAGAAATAGGGCAGCGGAGCTGCACCCTGAAAAGCTCCTCAGATGGCGACAACAGCATTCACTAGCAGGGACAGATGGACACGGCCAGTTTACCTAGTACAAAACACGGAACATGTATGGAGAACATGTATGGACATAAGCATGTGCCCACTGATCCGCATAGACCAGGGAAAATGCCTGGAAGCTGCCCTCATGACCCTGTGGCCTTTGCTGGACCAGGGCTCTTCAAGCTACTTTCAATGAGAAACAAACAAAAGGGACTTTAAAATGAGGCCCTCCTGGTGAAGCCCTCTCAGATCTGGGCCACCATGGCCTGACATCTTCTGCCATGCTCCCTCCTTCACGCTTATCTGAATTTCTATCTGACCACCTATAAGACTCGTAGAAATGTGCTCAGCTGTTCAACCATGCAAGGCTCCTTGACCCCACCACAGCAGGCCATGATGAACATGGTGTCTTACCACGTAAGAGGGCGGCAGCCCAGGGGACAGGCCAGAATTCAAGCGCCGAGGCCACAGCTGGACTCATCCAGACCTCAGTGGACACCGCCAGTGACGCCTGTCCTAGGGTCTGCCTCCTTCTTGGGCCTTGGAAGTGCACGAAAGGGCTGGGCACTCGATCACCAGGCCCCAGAAAGGCTTGGCTGGGAAGTATCCACCCCTCAGCAAGCAGCACCACAGAGACCCCAGGACTGCTCAGTGCCCAGGTGCAGCTGAGGAGGCTCAGACCTCACAGCAACCCAGTTGTTACCGTCAGCACCTTCTGGCTCACAGAGATAAAGAGAGGGCCAGCAAGGAGTCACATGACCAGCAAGGAGCAGACCAGCACCCCTGAGACCCTGTAGGCAAGACAGACCTGGAGCCTCAACCTCACGCCCAGAGGCGGCCTGCGCCTCTCCACTGCCCCATCCCAGGGAAGTGTCAGCAGCGTGCCTGGCGATGGGTGGCAGGGCTGTTACCAGCCCGATCTGGAGCCTGCACCTTGGCTGAAGAAGCCCCACACATCCCACGTGAAGCCAGAGCCCAGAAGCCAGCACACAGACACACACAAGAAACCAGGCTGGGACACGCCTGCGAGAACCCAGGATTTCAGGGCAGCTTCTCCCTTTGACCTCCCAGACCGGAACAGTACTGTGGCCCTCATCTCACCTCCAAGACCTCATTTCACAGAAGAGGACAGAGCACCAAGAGCTTCCATGGGGTGCCCCAAACCTCACCCTTCCCCAGGGCGGCGTTCCAGCACTCAGGGAGCCCACAGGTCCTGAGAGGCTGGCCATGGCTGGGGTTGTGAGGTCCACCTGCCCACTGCAGAGGATGCTCCCTGGAGCAGAGACCCCATTCCCAAACCAATCCCCTCATGGGCTCAATCCACATCTGTGACCACAGCAAAGGCAATGCAGGCAACGTGCAGATGGGAACGTTCCCTTCCATGTGGCCCTGGACACAGAGACGGGGCCTGCTGCTCCTGGTCGAGGCAAACAGCTTTAGAAAGCACTTCCCTGTTTGGTGGGAGAAAATTACAGGCAAGTTTCCTTTCCCTTAACAGTTCATTGTGTTTCATTTCCAAAGTGAAATGAAGAGGATCGCCTGGTAAAATGTTAAAGCTTTAATTTCAAATCACTTCTAATGCCCGTTTCATCTGACAGTGGCTTTGAAAGCAAAAGGCAATTTTTATCATTTGAGGTTTTTAAGTAAATTGATGTGATTATGTCCAACACAACCAGATGCTTCTAAAAGCCAATTTTCAAAGTGACATCAGCCCCCCAAATAAGAAATCTCCTTCTGGCTATTAATAAATTATTAAAACACTGTCCGCAGGAGAATGAGGATGAGCTTGATCATCAATGGCAAACAGGCGGGCTTCAGACTCTCCACACAGACCCACAGCCTGGTCAGCCATGCAGTACACAGAGGTCCCCGGGCCCCGCTGCATGCCCTTCCCTCTGCCCCAAGCCCTTGCCACTGCCCAGCAGCCCCATAGGTTCCACCAGACAGGCTCAGTCCCTCATGGTAACTCCATCTTCAGCAGGAGCAGGCATAAGACTCAGTTCTGGCCAAGGAGGCATAAGGGGCACATACTGGCAGTGGGGGTCCTAGGAAAGGCTTTCTTGTGCAGAAAAGATAAGAAAGAGGCCTCTCCTTTCCGCCTCTGGGTATGATGCCTGAGCCTGTATGGCCCCTCACAGCCACAATTGAAACCAGAGAAGAGCTGGGGTGTGGGATTAGAAGAAACACATGTCTGATCTTCATCCCAGGCTCCCTGAAGCCCCTGGGATTTCCTGAGTGACAGGCATGTCTCTTGCTATTCAGAGTGAGCCCCTTCCAATCACACCTCCATTCGCGCTGACGTGATGACTCAGGGTGGGCCTGCTAGTGACAGACAAGCTGTTGCCAAGACCACATGAGGACTGGCTGGGAATATCCCAACCCCATCACCCACCTCAGGGAGAGGGCAGTGGGGCCCAGAGCCGGGGCTGTGAACACCTGAACAACGCGATGGCGGAGTGCCCAGGGTTGGAGTACGCCGTGGCACTGTGAGAAGCTGCCTGGAGAGGGCAGGAAGCTCCGCACCCCTCCCCAGCCCCGGCCCTGTGTAGCTCTCCCTTGTGGCTGTTCCTGAGCTGGGTTCTGCACAGTGAACCAAGAATGGAAAGTCACACACTATTCTGTGTTCTGTAAGTCATCATAGAGAACTTAAAAAACCTGGGGACAGCCCGGCCCTGACCCAGCCCTGCACCAGGGGACAGGCCGGCCTGCGACCCAGCCCTGCACCAGGGGGACAGCCCGGCCCCCGACCCAGCCGTGCACCAGGAGACAGCCCAGCCCTGACCCAGCCCTGTACCACGGGACAGCCTGGCCTCTGACCCAGCCCTACACCAGGGGATAGCCCGGCCCCCGACCCAGCCCTGTACCAGGGGGACAGCCTGGCCCCCAACCCAGCCCTGCACCAGGGGACAGCCCGGCCTGCAACCCAGCCCTGCACCAGGAGATAGCCCAGCCCTGACTCAGCCCTGCACCAGGAGATAGCCCAGCCCTGACTCAGCCCTGTACCAGGAGATAGCCCAGCCCTGACCCAGCCCTGCACCAGGGGACAGCCTTTGAGGCTCCTGGTCTGTCTCTAGAATAGGCCCATATGGCATCTGCTTTCCTGTGGTAGTTTCAATGCAGATGCTCGCATGTGCCTGCCTTGTTCTTTGGTGAAGGCTGCTCTGGTCCGTCTGGTTAGTGTGGAACCTTAGGAAAACCATCTCTCTTCTGAGTCAGTTTTTTCTTCTGTAGGATAGACCCAGTGAGCGGTTTTTCAGCGAAATGTCAGGGACATCCCTGTGCCTGGGGTCTGGCACCACACACTTTAACCTTGACCCTTCAGTGAGTCAGGTGCCCCAAAGCACACCACTTGAGGTGACAGGGAACAGGCCTGTGCCGTACTCACAGCGTGCGGTCTACCTGCAGGCCTGTGGTGGCTGCCCTAGAGACCCTGGCTTGGCTGGTGGCCTCTGCCTGTCCTTTTGGTTCTCATTCCCCCTCTCTTCTTGAGTGGGACTTTGGCAGGAAAAGAGGGCTTGGCGGCACCAGCCCTGAGAGCTGGGCCACACGGAGGAGCTGGGCCTTCCCGAGGTTGTTGGTGTGGTGCCTGCCTGCAGTGCCCAGACTTGGACGTGAGATGGTGCATGTGGCATGTGCAACCGCTCGCTCCTCTGTGCTCAGCTTAGAACCTCCTCGAGGGGCCTCCTCAGCAGGGATAGGGGGGTGCCAGGCCTATACATTTTGTGGCCAATTAGAGGGAGAGATAGAAGTAGGGGGCATGGCATGGAGAGGCCTGGGTGAGCGGGCGTCTGTCTCAGGGCCTCCCTCCCTCACGCGGTGCCTTCTTGTTCCTCTGATAATTTCCTGATCGGGGCTAGTGAAGCCCGGGGTTGGTGGATGTGGACCCCAGGTACCTGTCCTGCCAATGCAGGGTTCTCTGTGGCCCCCCAGTATGGTCTGGGGACCTGTCTGAGACAACATCATGTTTCAGGCTGCAGCTGCCTGCTGGACCTGAGATTAAGCCTTGTCTCTCCTGAGAGGGGGTCCAGCCCGCCCTGGCTCCAGGGGAAAGCCTGGGTCATCAGCAGACAAGGCCAAGGGTCTTGGCTGTACCCTCCAGCACGTGGTGGCTGCTTGGCTTGGAGGGGTCCCCGAAGGCGGGCACTGGCTGGCCCTGTAGGGGTGCAGACAGGCTTTGGCAAGGCCAGCCCTGCTCTAGTGGATGTCTGACCCTGCTCCCTCCCCAGGCAGAGCCCTCAAGGCAAAAAAAACCACACACTCTTCCATGGCTGGGCCGGTTCAGCCTCTGCTGCCGCTGGGCTCTGGGGTCTGCCTGGGTGCCCCCGCCTGCTGCTTCAGCCAGCTTGTGTTGCCTCTTTCAGCAAGATGAGCTGCCGTTAATATTTCACACCCAGACGGTTTCCCTGCATGTTTTGCATTTCCATATTTAAAATGGCATTTACATATTCATGAATTTTTAAATAAGTTTTTATTGTTAAGGGATGTGGAAGTGGATGAAATGTGAAACTCCCCCTTTTATTCAAGTACTAGAAAAAATTTCATCCCCAATGCAATCACTTTCTAAGTGGTTAGTTCTGTGGCAGTTGCGTAGATTGTTCTGGAAGCCGGTGGGTCATAGGGCCACGGAGCCACCCTTTCTGGCATGTAGAGACTGGTGCTTGCTGTCAGCATTGCTTCCCACCTGAGGTCGGGCATGGAGACCTGGTCACTCCTTGGGGTTTCTTCTGGTGGGGGCCTGGCCTTGCACTGGGATGCGGGGCTGGCTCCCACCCACACCCATGGCTCTTCTTTTGGAGGAAATGTCCAAGGCAGACGAGGCTTTTCATTTTGGAAGTGGCTGAGCCAGGGATGCCTGGCTCCTCTTCTCCTTTCTCCCCAGTCACTCGGCGTCTCTGCCCTGGTTGGCCTATTGCTCCTGGCTCTGTGGCTGCGGCCAGAGCCTCAGAGGGTCAGTAAGCCTGGTGCACTCTCCGATTCTGAGGGGTAGAGGGTGGCACCAGCCCCCTTCACTCTTCAGGGTCCTTTGAGGGTTTTGTGTAAGAACATGTGTGGGGCAGATGGGGGCTGTTGGAGGGGTGCTGGAGTTACTGTTTTAGGTTTGGGCACTGATGAATGTGGCTGAGCCTTTGCCTCCGGTACACTGGCCTGGGGGAGGCCCAGGGAAAGCCACCAAGGAATGACAAGAGTGGGAGGCCCTGGGAGAGGTGTCCACAGGGGCCTCCTAGGCCAGGAGGCTGTGTGAGCTGATCTGGAGCCAAGCACAGGTCACAGAGGGAGGCAGTGGAGGAGTTGAGGGCTTTGGAAGCCACAGGAGCGTAGCCCTGGCCACTTGGCCCATGGCGTGCCATGCCGCAGTGGAGCAGGGCAAGTGCTGTGGGGGTCCAAATAATAGACCATAAAAACAGGGAAACTGAGGCCCACACCAGGGGAAGAGACTCCACCCTGGGCGATGGATGGAGTCAAACCTACGGCACAGATTTTTCTGATCTCTATTGTTATTTACTTCTTAATATTTTTAGGCGTAAAATTATTTTTTATCATTTCAGGCCTAAATAGCCCACAAAACCTTAGGCTCGAGGATCAGGGGAAAGTGTGGTCTGAACTGCAACTGACATCTCCACACAGAGCCCCTCACACTGGCCTTTGCTGGAGTGATCTGGGCAGGGTCTCCCAAAGCCTGGCTGCCTTTTCAAAGGACAGCGACTGGTTTTCTCTGTGGCTGTGGGAGTTCTCAGCAGTCTGCCTTTGGCCCCAGCCCCTGGCAGCTTCCCCTAGCATAAGTATTGTGTTTTCCATACTCTCAGGGCACTGGGTTATTGGTGGTAGCTGGTTCCTCCTGAGACGAGAGGCAGGACACAGCTCAAGGCTGTGGCCCCTGGGGGCATGACCAGGGGAGTCACCCTTACTGCTGAGGGTGGGGACATCTTGGTGTGCAGCCCGGGCTGCCAGCTGACCTGTCTTGGCAAGCCCTGGACTGAAGCTTGTGAGCTTGGAGGGAGGGTGGTCCTGTGAGCTGGTGGCGGGGAGGAAAGTGGGGGTGCGGGGAGGGTGGTCCCATCGGTTTCTGTGAGTACACCGCTGGCTCAGGGGTTCGGGCGTGTGCTCCCCTTGGCGGCCAGGGGGCTAAGGCTGTGGCTGTGGTGTAGGGTGCTTCTTGGGGGTTGGGCCCTCCTTAACAGTCCTCGCCCTGTCTAGGTGGACTGGCCACTCAGGAGGCTGAGGCAGCCTCGCCTGCTAGTCCTTCTTGCTGCCGGCCTCGGTGCTGGAGTGTTTCTTCGGAGGAAGCCTGCCTGTTCGGCTGGGAGCTTGGGCCTCCCCAGTGCATGTTGACCCCAGCTGAGAGGTGTTCTCCTTGCTTCTCCTGCTTTTCATCTAGAAAATCAGGCCCAAGACTCTTGCTTTGCAAGATGAGTGGAGAATTGGGAGATTTCAGAAGTTCCTGACATCAAGCAGGTGCTTAGGGAATGGCGGCTTTATTTGTAAGAGTGGGATCTGTGGGGTCTGTAGAGGGCCCCGTCACTGGTCCTGCTCACTTGACCCCTGAGCCTTTCTTTCTCGTCTGTATTGGAGTCAATTCTACCCTTGATAGATTTCTTTGAAGGGTACTTGCAGCCTTCCTGTGGGAGGGCTGAGGAGTGCTGGCCTTCCTCTTAGCACTTGCTTGGCCCCTGGGTATGGGGTTCTCAGAGTGAGGTGCTGCAGGCGACGACAGCGAGGCCTTTGGGAGGGGAAGAGTCCATCTGCTGCCTCCCCGCAGGCCAACTTATCTTAACAGGCCAGAAGTTTGTGTCTGGCACGAGTCTGGGGATTCATGCCCCAAATCCCCACCTCTTAATGTGCCTTTCCTTCAGTTCTGTCAATAGGACCTGTTTTCCATCCTCTCCTTGCTGAAGTGCTTATCTCCCCAGGCCACTTGGTCTGGTGCTCGCCTCTCCATGGTTCTGAAGGCGCCTCACTTCATTAGGCTGAGTGGCTCTGGACTAAGTGCACCTGCAGAGGTGACAGCCCCCACTGCCTGCCTCTACTGAGCACTGCTGCAGCCAGGACGGTGGCTGGGGAGCATGTCCCCTGGGGCAGCAGATGCATCCCCTTCCTATCTCCTTCCCTTTGAACCCTGTACGTACCCCTGCATCCTCTCATCCTCTTTAGCAAGTTAAAAAAAAGCTGGCATTTCCTCCCACTCCAGGAAACACTTTGTAGCAGCAGTCTCAGCCTGCGATGTTGGGCTGCCTGGTGGCAGTGAGAGCGCAGCGTGGGTGCGTACCCAGAGGAAGGGCCCAGGACTCATGGCTCTGTGCTCGGATTGTGAGCTGGCCTGTGCCATCAGCACAGAAATCTGTTGTCATATTGGTGTTGCGCCCTCTCATAGTTGCCCCACGTGTCCGCCTCCTGCTTGGCACCCCCTCTGTGGAGCTTCAGGGCTGGAGGAGCACAATTCAGAAACCGCTGGTCAGGAGACCTTTCCTGGAGAAGTTCCTGTTCTGGTTGTGGATCTGGCCTGTGTGGGAGCCCGAGGTGGCATCTTTGAGGTGACTTGGGACTGCTGGGAAAGCTCTCTTTCTCCTGGCAGAGGTTTTCAGGCACTGCCATGGCACGAGCCTGTTTATACCTGGGACCAGAGTGGGCGTGTGCAAGCCACAGAAGGGAAGAAGGAAACAGCATGGGTCTGTCACTCACATGGGCCGAGCAGAGTGGTAACGTTTCTGCCGTTTGTGACATTTCTATTAGAGGGCAGAATATTCCTGACCTCAGCTCCCTAGATCAGAAAACGGCATTTGGAGAGCTGTATACGTTTGAGAAGAGGGTGTCAGGGTCAGTTCTGTCCTTTGAAAGCAAACATCTTTGTTGGCCCCCAGAAGGTGGTAGTAGAATCTAGATTTCCTCAAACATTTGGAGAAAAAACAAAAATGACTACTATTTGAATGTTGTTGGTTGTTGCTTTAAGAAGGGAATAGGGAGATGGGAGAAGGGCCCTTGCTTGGGTTCTCCCTAGGTCTTTTGCTGCCCTGAGCTTCTGTTTCCTTGCTTATTTAGAAGGGGTTTGCGTGAGCGTAGCCCCAGGAGAGCAGCCCACACCCCATAGCGGGAGCCTAGTGCAGGGCCAGGGCTACCAGGAACTGCTATCTGGGGAGGCTCCCCAGTCATTGAGGCCTTCTCTCTCACTCCTGGCCCTGCTGAGCCCAGGGCATCATCAATGGACTTGGAAGCATCCTCTTATGAACGCTCTTCTTGAGTTTCCTGGTAACTTCCTGTGAACTTCGTAAGTTCTGAGCCAAGAGCTTCCTTAGCCTTGACGCTGGCCGCTGCTGGCCCCTTTCCATGCCCAAGCCCAGGAAAACACATGCATCGATTCTTGGTGTGTGGGTGTGGAGAGCAATTCCAATGTCATCAGGTGATTTGAGTACGCTTTCCTTCCTTGTTTGGCAGAGCATAAAATCAGTCTCCAGCCCTCCCACGGTGGCCTCCACTGCTCAGCCCCAGGAGATGCCAGGAGATGGGGTGGCCCCCACTGCGGAGTGCACCTGGCTCAGGGTCTGCTTGTGGAGAAGTGTGGCTTCTGGAAGGGGCAGGCTTTGGGCTGGTGAGTGGACCTGGTCTGAGGGAGGGTGCTGGTGTTGCCAGCATCCTGAGCTTGAGGTGGTGCCATGGACCTGGAAGGGTCTCTGGACCCTGTTAGGAAACTGGGTAAGAGAATAGGAACAAAGAAACATCCGCTTGCTAGACACCTGTGGGTACCAGGCACGCCACACGTATCCCCCTGCCCTGGCACTGACCCTGCACACTGGCGGGGGGGGGGGCCTCTCACTTTGTCTCGGTTTCCCCAAGGTTGTGGAGCTCCTCAGCCTAGAGTCTGCTTGTGAGCTCAGGGCTGGCTGTCTCCTAAGCCTGTGCCCTTTAACCACGTTGCCTCTCATTGGGCAATGCTTTTTCAAGCTTGGTCAATCACAGGTCACTTCCTCAGAGCACGAGGCTTCTGATGCTGACGCTTTTTTAAATACTGTGGCTGAGAAACGCTGTTGCGCAGAGTCTATAGGAGGAGCAGTGTTGATGTTGCTCTGACTGGCGGTGCTGGTCAGCATGGGACAAGTGCGGGTTCCTGTTTCTGCCTCATTGTGCTTAGAGTAGACATAGGGGCTCCAGGGGAAGGAAGGCTGTGACCACTGCCCTGAAGGAGCTTTCCCCCTGTCTGGGAAGAGAAACCAGAAGTGAATCCCTTAGAGGACTGGAGAGCGTTGGGCTACCTGGTCTTGATCATGGCCATGCTTCCCACATGCCTTGCTGCTTATGAATTATATGGAGAAACTAGCCTGAAAATGGAGATCCTGGGGCTCACCTGCAGAGGCTTAGATTTAGGGCTCTTTGCTGAGGCCATTGCTTCCTTCATGAGTGGACTTTTCCCTTGGGCCTAGGATGTGGGCTCACATGTCACCATGAGAGGTGGTGGGCACGAGTCCTGCACAGCTCTGTGAGAGGCGGCGAGAGCTGGTGGGTAATTGTCCTGAGCATCGCTGTGAGAGCAGGGGGAGGGGGGCAAGAGTCCCACACTTGCCCACCACCTGCACCTTCCTCTGCAGCAGCATTGCCCTCACTTGTTGGTCTAGGCCTTTTAAACAATAAACAATTATCTATCAGTATTTACTGTCTTTGGAAATTAAAATTAAAACATTATTTACAATTTATAACCTCATTAAAAACAATTCATTATCAGTTGACAAAATATATTTATGAAAAATGTATTTTCTAACACAAAATGAGATATAGTGAGAGGAATGGTATTGTTTTTTTATTTTCCACAAATCTCTTCAGTGTCTGGTGAAATAGAAGACAGAGGCTTCTCGTGTCTGTGTCTGTTTCCATCTGCTGTGGTCTCTTCTGAGTCTGTGGAATAAGTCTGGCTCCACATGGGTGTGCAGTTGGAGGAAGGAGGGCCTGGTGGCCTGAGGGCCCCCCACCCACATGCTCTGCTCAGCCTTGCTTGCTGGGTGGCTGCAGGGCTGAAGGTAGGAGCATTCGCTGTTCCTTGATACCGTTCATGGTTAGTCCCACCTTTCTGGGTAGTGTTTGTTCAAAATTCTGATTAGAGTGTAGGGGGCATTTTGTGTTTGTTGAACATGAACATCATTAGTGAACATTAGTCATTGACTGTCTGGGAAGGTTTCCTCAGTTGTGGTTTTTCTGGAAAAGGTGTGACTTGTGTATCCTAGAAAAGGCCCAATTTGCAGCATTCTGGGCGGTTGAAGGAGGATGGCTCAGCCTGTAAACGGCAGAGCTGACTTCCTTTAGGCGTTCTTGCCCTAGATGAGCAGCAGGGGTGGCCCCGGGGCCTGGAGATTGCGCCCAACTGATTTCTGGTGGAGCCAAGAACTTGGGCAGCCACAAGATGCTCTCTGGGAACCCCACAGATCTAAGACTAGTCCCTAATAAGAGAGGGTGGCCTCCCCAGAGAGTGTGTGCAGCTGCTGGACACACATGGGCTCTAGTGACCGGTCCTGTTTAAATGGGCAGATTTTTCTTTTTGTTGTCATAGAGAAACTAATTTCTTATTACCTGTCAGCTATTTTCTTCTTTAAACCAAATAAGAAACTGGAAGCTTTCTCACTAAGATCAGGCACGAGACAAGGAGTCCCACTCACTGTTCCTATTCACTGTCGTACTGGAAGTCCTAGCTAGTGCAGTAAGACAAGAAGAGGGAATAAAGGAAGGAATAAATAAAACTGTCTTTGTTTGAAGATGACATGATCATCTATGTAGAAAATTCTAAGAACAAAAGAACTTGTAGAATAATGCATGGTGAGAACAGGGTTGCAGGATGCATGGGTAATACACACCTGTCAGCTGCTTTCCTGCATACCAGCAATGAGCAGAGGGAATTTGAAATCAAAACACAGTACCATTTACATTAGCACCAAAAGATGCCTTAGACACACAGGCCTGTATAGGATATGTGTGAGGAAATCACAAGACCCTGATGAAAGAAATCAAAGGTGTAAATAAATGCAGGGCATTCTATGTTCATGGATAGGAGGACTCAGTATAAATGCAGAGGCATTCTATATTCATGGATAGGAGAACTCAGTATAAATGCAGAGACAGTCTGTGTTTATGGATGGGAGGACTCACTATTATCAAGGTGTCAGTTCTTCCTAATTCTCTCTAGAGGTTTCATGCAGTCCCAGTCAGAATCCCAGCAAGTTATTTTTGTGGATACCAACAGATTCTAAAGTTTTTATGGGAAGGTAAAGGTGGCAATGCCTAGCACAACACTGAATAACAAAGTCAGAAGATTGACACTCCCCGACTTCAAGACTTAATGTAAAACCACAGTCATCAAGACAGTGTAATGTTGATGAGAGAATGGACAAATAGGTCTGTGGAACAGGTTGGAGAGCCTCAAAATAGACCTCCACAGATATAGTCGGCTGATCGTGTGCAGCAGAGCAAAGGCAGCTCAGAGGAGAATGGTTTTTTCAGCAAATGGTGCTGGCACAGTGAAACAGCCACAGGGAAAAACCTAGACACAGACCTTACATCTTTCACAAAAATCAACTCAGAATGGGTCACACACCTAAGTGTAAAGCACAGCACTTTAAAACTCGTAGAAGATAACAAGAGAAATATCTAGCTGACCTTTGATTTGGCAGTGACTTTTCATATACAACACCAAATGCACAATCTGTGAAAGAATTGATGAGCTGGACATCATTAAAATTAGAAATTGCTGCTCTCTGCAAAGGAAACTGTCGAGAATAAAAAGAGAAGCCACAAATGGAGAAAATATTTTTCATTGTCATGCAAAAGACACATCTGATAAGGGCTGTTATCCAAATCATACAAAGAACTCTTCAAACTCAGTGGTGAGGAAACAGACCACTCAAATAAAAGATGGATGAGATCTGAACAGGTGCCTCACCAAAGCAGAGATACAGGTGATGGAGAAGCATGTGAGGAGATGCTCAGCATTGCATGCCATTAGGGAGTGAAAGCACCCAGATCTCACCATATGTGCTTAGAACGTGGTCGGCAGCAAATGCTGGTGGGACATGGAGCAACAGGAACTCTTGCCATTGCTGTGGGAATCCAAAATGGTGCTGCAGCCACTTTGAAGGTAGTTTGGCAGCTGCTTAGAAAAGGAAACATTCTGTACAGTCTAGCTCTGTGCCCCTTGGAAGTTGTCCAAGTGCGTTGAAAACTTATTTTCACACACAAACCTGCACATGAGTGTTTCTGGTAGCTTTATTCATAATCACCAAAATGTGGAAGTGACCGAGATGTCTGTCTCAGTCTGTTTTTGTGTTGTTATAAAGGAATATGTGAGTCTGGGTAATTTATAAATAAGAGGCTTTTTTGGCTCAAGGTCCTGCAAGAAGCATGGCGTCAGCACCTGGCTTCTGGTGAGGGCCTCAGGCTGCCTCCATTCGTGGTGAGAGAGGGGAGCTGGCACCACATGGTGAGGAGGAAGGAGGAACGCAGGGAGACACCAGGCTTCCTGTGACAATTAGCTCTCCTGGGAACCGATCAAGTGAGGACTGCTATTTAGCATGAGCCATCATGAGCCCCCATGGCCCAAAACCCTCCTCTCAGGCCCTGCTTCCAACCCTGGGGATCAGATGTCAGCCTGAGATTTGGAGGGGTCAGGAACCACATGGTAACAGTGTCCTTCCATAGGTGAATGGATAAACGGTGGTATGTCCGATAGAATACTATTCTGTGCTAAAAAGAAATGAGCTAGCAAGCTGTGAAAAGACTTGGAAGAACCTTAAATGTATATTGCAGAGTGAAAGAGGACGATCCGCAAAGGTGGTGTACTGTGGGATTTCTACTCCATGATATACAGGAAAAGACAACTGTGGACACAGTAAAAAGTAAAAAGTGGTTGCCAGGGATGGATGGGAGGGATGCATAGGCAGACCCAGACAGTTTTTAGGCAATGAACCGACTCTGCACGTGGCTATGATGATGGACACGCTGTCTTATGCCAGGGTGAACCCACTCTACTCTGCACATGGCTGTGATGGTGGACACGCTGTCTCACGCAGGAGTGAATTGACTCTGCCTGAGGCCATGATAGTGGACGCAGCCTCATGCAAGAGTGAACCCATTCTACTGTGCATGTGGCCCTGATGGTGGACACACTCTCTTAGGCGGGAGTGAACCTACTCTACTCTGCATGTGGCCCTGATGGTGGACACACACACTCAAGCGGGAGTGAACCCACTCTATTCTGCATGTGGCCCTGATGGTGGACACACACTCTCAAGTGGGAGTGAACCCACTCTACTCTGCACGTGGCCGTGATGATAAACACGCTCTCTCATGTGGTAGTGAACCCACTCTACTTTGCATGTGGCAATGATGGTGGACATGCAGTCTCACGTGGGAGTGAACTCACTCTCCTCTGCATGTGGCCCTGATGATGAACACTCTCTCACGCGGGAATGAACCCACTCTACTCTGCATGTGGCTGTGATGGTGGACACACAGTCTCACACAGGAGTGAACCCATTCTATTCTGCACGTGGCTTTGATGGTGGACACGCAGTCTCATGCAGGAGTGAACCCATTCTACTCTGCATGTGGCTGTGGACAAACTCTGACGCGTGAATCAACCCACTCTACTCTGCATGTGGCTATGATGGTGGACATGCAGTCTCACACGGGAGTGAACCCATTCTACTCTGCACATGGCCGTGATGGTGGACACGCTCTTTCTTGCGGGAGTGAACCCACTCTGCACGTGGTTGTGATGGTGGACACGCAGTCTCACACAGGGACTGCAGAGATGCATTTCTCCAAACCTGAGAAGGTAAGACATGACAAGTGAGCTGCGTGTCAGCTGTGGACTTTGGTTCATAACAGCATGTCCACATCATTTCATCAGCCGTGACAAATGTACTGCAGCTGTATGTGGTGCAGGGGAATCTGCCTGGGGCTGAAGGGTAGATGAGAGCTCTCATTTCTGCTCAGTTTTTCTGTAAACCTAAAATTGCTCTAAAAAATAATGTCTGTAAATTTAAAACAAAAATTAGCAAGTAAGATGAGGCTAGAGAGAGCTGTCCCAGGGGTCAGACTGTGGAGACAAAATGCAATTGGTGCCGGCTTCCTCCTGAGTCACCCTTGCTGTCTGCATGGAGGAGAGAGACCACACTGAGCGTCAGGAGGCAGCACCTTGGTGGGTCCACAAGGCACATCATTCACTATTCTCTCCGTTAGTAACACCTGACCAGCCCCCAGGCGGCATATCATGTGTGATGGTCAGGCACTTGTTGGGAGCTCACAGGACTTGTGTGACTGCCAGTTGCTGAAAGAAGGAAGCAGGTCCCGTTTCATGACCAGAGACACCCCAGGTGTGATGGCTGTCACATTCTGCTGCCCTTCCCAGCCTGAATGGGCTGGGGTGGGAATAAGGGCTGATGGGGGCTGAAGGGCACAGAGCACCCCTGGGGAGGTGGGCCTGGAGGACACACCTTAACTGCCCTCATTGCCGCTCTCTGGATCAGAACCTGGGGGCCCAGCTGGTGCAGGCACGAATGTTCCAGCACATTTGTAAGGATGAGCTGGGAGGACTTGAGCAAGGACGCCATCAGTGTCTGCGCGAGGTCCCCTGGGACTGACGAGGCTCGTTGGGGAAGCAGAAGCAGCACTTTGAATTTTAAATTTGTTAAATTCCTTTTCCTCTCTGTCTCAGCTGTTCCCTATTTCCCTTGGAGAGCCAGGGAGGTTAGTGTCCTCTCATCTCCATACTCTGCCAATTTTACTGCCTTTCCATATTTCCTCACCATGAATGTAACTGATTTTATGATGCTTAAGCCATTTTTAACGTAGCCTCTCATCACAAGGTAGAGAAGCGAGGGGGATTGTGCCTCTCCAGACCTTAGAACATGTGTGCTTTCTGTTTTTTAAGCATTTGGGCTAAGACTGCCTTTGCAGATTCCTGAGGTACCTGGGATGAGCATGTGCCGTGTGCAGGTCCACTCCGGGGCCCGAAGAAGGCCGACACCCTGCACGTCCATCTCTTTTAGGAACTCATAGTGCAGTATTTCAACCCAAAATACTCCAAAGGGTCCAAATCTAGTTTAAAGAGAGTTTATTCAAGTGCAAGGTTCTTTGAGGACGGGCACCAAGGAAACACAGATTCCAAAGAATGGAAGTCAGTGTTCTGAAGCATGGAAGTTCGGGATCATTTATATAGACAAATTTAGGGAAGCTTAGCAGAATCTCAGCATCCTTCTGCATGAGGGCTTAATCCATCGTTAGATCTGATTCCATGCGGTGGCCTTTATCTTTCAGGGAAGGTTGATTTGGCATCCATATGGAAGATGTAGCAGGCATGGGGTCTTGTGCCATCTGGTCTGTAGGTGCAGGACAGTGAAAGAGGCAGTTAATCCATCACAAAGATTGGTGACTGGAAGTGGGAGAGATCTGGTGTGTGGTCTTTTCTAGTCACTTACGGAACAAGAATGAAGAAGAGTTGCGGATACGCCCTCCGGCTGGGTCTCCGGGGCTTAACTTTCCCCCTTGGCATAATAAACTGTGACAGTCCTGATGTTTATTTTATTTTACAAGTGGAGGGGGAAGTGGGCCCAAGATTGTGTGGGAGGCTGGTCTCAGCCAGACCTGAAGCTGATGACCTAGAGAGTTAAGCTCTGGCCTCTCAATTGCTTCCTTATTCCAGACTCCTCAGCCTGTTCATCTGGTGTGCCCCTGGGGAGCTCCTGGAGAGGGGCGTGCTGTAATGGTATGGAGAGAACTCTGGGCTTAGGACCTGGCCTCAAGGTGCTGTGTGTCCAGGCCAGCTTCTCTTCAGCCCCAGGATATGGTGACTGAAGTGCTTTAGCACAGAGACACTCGAATGCTGGACCTCTCAGGTGAGCTCTGTGGCTGCACCCAGCTGGACACCTGCTGCAGGCTGAGGGCTGGGCAGGGAAGTCCAAGAGGAGGGCATTTACCTCCCGACACATGGAGGTACTTTTGATGTGGCGAGGGGCATAGGGGCAACCGGGGGCATTTCCTGCACCCACTTGGTGCTGGAGCCTGTCTGCCTGCCTTGGTGCTTACCCCCATCCCTGCCCCTCTGTTGGGTAATGTTTTCTTCACCCTTCTGCTGGGCTCCAGAAGGACAGCTTTTTGGACTGGTTGGGAGTGTCCTGGCAGTGGGTCCCTTGGGAGTCATGAGTCCCCCTCCGCCTGTTGACCCAGCTGCCCACCTGTCTGCCCCTCCAACGGTGGTGGTTGTGTTGCGTACCTTCCTTGTGTCCAGACAAGATCCTGGGGGAGGCTGTTGGCTCAGGCCTGGGGTGCAGAGAGCACTTCTTGGACTGCTTCTGATGTGTGTGTAAAAATAACTGCGTTTGGCCGGGTGCAGTGGCTCACGCCTGTAATTCCAGCACTTTGGGAGGCCAAGGCGGGCGGATCACAAGGTCAAGAGATCAAGACCATCCTGGCCAACATGGTGAAACCCTGTCTCTCCTAAAATACAAAAATTAGCTGGGCGTAGTGGCACATGCCTGTAGTCCCAGCTACTCGGGAGGCTGAGGCAGGAGAATTGCTTGAACCGGGGAGGTGGAGGTTGTAGTGAGCTGAGATCACGCCACTGCACTCCAGCCTGGTGCCTGGCGACAGAGCAAGACTCTGTCTCAAAAAAACCCTGCATTTGTTTTTCTGATCTGTGGGCAGAAGCATGAGCCTGCACATCCAGCTGTGTGTCTCTCGCCAGCCTTCCTCTCATCAGGGAAACCATCTCCGTTAGACAGGCGGCCTCCAGAGGGATGGGATCGAATGTGTGCTCTTCCCTCATGATGGGAGGTACCCGGGGTTCCTGTCCTGCTGCTTTGTGTGTGACTGGACTCTGAGAAGTGCATGTCCCTCACGTCCTCGTCGCTGGCAGGTGATGGATTCAGGCCTGCGGTGGGAGGGGCGCTGCCCAGCAGGAGCTGTATGGACAGGAGCCTCAGTGAGCCTGCTGGATGGCTTGGCCTGCCTGGGCCTGTCCACATTCACAGTCCAGTAGAGGCAGACCTTTTATTCTTCCATGCCTGCCACAGTACATTCAGATATCTGGCCACAGGCAGAAGCATGGGCTTTCCCTCTTCCAGGCCTCTGTATTCTTTTGCTCCCTCCCCACCCCCTGGCCAGCACCCACCTGGTGTCAACCCGCTGCACATGTGAGCACACTCCTGGTGGTGGGTGAGTCCTGGCGGCCCCGGCCACCCCGGGAATCTGTAGGACCCTCATGGAATGCGCCTGCGCAGTCCCTGCCCCTTCCAGCTGGCTCTGGAACTGGAAGGAAGATCAGGGAGCTGCCTATCCACAAACCCAATTTTATCCTTGGGGTGGGGTTACATGCCACCTCCACTCTGCCCAGTTGGTCAGTGCCAGCAGCACTCCCTGCCCCCTCAAGGTCCAGATACCCTGAAGCCTCGGGAATGCCTGTCCGCATCTCTGGCTTTCCTCCTCCTCCCTGTGGTCCATGGGCCTGACTCGCACGTGGGAAGCCTGAGGGTGGGAGCAGAGAGACTGTAGCGTGTGAGCCGAGGATGGTGCCTCCTGCCCCTAGGGAGGCAATGGCGTGGCCTGACGGGCTCGTGGGTGGCAAAATGGACCTTCTGAGGACAGGTCCCAGCAGCCACCTGTTCTGTTCCCCAGAGTGAGAAGGGTAGAGGCAGCCGGTTTCAGCCCCACCCAGTATCCCTGCCAGGATCTCTGCCATGACCAAGGCCTCAGCCGAGCCTTCAGCCTTCTTGCGGACACATTGTGTTTTCTGCTTTCTTGCTCAGCTCTTCATGTCACACAGCCTCTGGTGGCATGCCTGTGCCCTTGCTGAGGCCTCTGGGTGCAGAGACTCCCATCAGGGCCTTCCCTCAGGCAGGGCAGGTCTCCCGGCCTCTCCTGCCTGAATGGCCATTTTCCGGAAGCAGCCTTCCTGTTCCTGGTCTGTGCTCTTTGTGACTCTGTGCTGATGAGCAGGTGTTTCATGATCCCTGAACTGCCTGGGTCTTTCATGGTGTTCCTGCCTCCTCTACCCTCCCACTCTAGCACCAGCACTGCGTTTCAGAGACTCTAAGCTTGGATAGCCCTGTCAGGTTTTAGCAGCGCCATTTGGGAGATGAGAGGTGGCTGAGCTGCTGATGACAAATGCGATTCAGTGACAGAAATGCAAAATAATTAGTCTGGGACCAGAGAACTACAAAGAACATATGCAGACTGGGACAATCTTTTGGTTTCATGAGAAACACATTGATTTAGAAATAATCTGGGGGATGGCATCAGTAGCTCCTAAACGGGTGATGAGAGCCTGAGTTGATTATGAGTTGAAGTAGCATGCTCACCTCCTTGTAACCAATGACCGTGATTCAAAAAGCGTTTTATTTATTGAATGCCTCTTGGTGTCTGGGCCTTTCATCCATTCATTCTTATCATGAAGTACTTAGAGGTCCACACTACCTTAATCTCTCAGGTGCGAGCCAGTCTCTTGCTTGAGGTCGCAGCTGCTGGTTGGAGCCAGTTCAGACCTGCTCCAGGGCCGTTGCCAGCTGCGTGCCGGCATGGGTAGTGGGGTTCGGAGGCCGCAGCACCTCTACCCCAGACTTTCTCGTTCCTAGCAGGCCTCTGCTCCCCTGACACTGGGAATCGGGCACTGACACCCACAGTGCCGGCTGCTCTCGTGCGTTTCCTGGAGTGCAGGGGTCTTTGGTGGGTGTGAGGTTGTAGTCGCAGGTGTGTTCCTGTGGGTCTCAGACCTCTCGCAGTTCCATGCCACCCAAGTGCCTTCTCCAGCCCATCTCCTCCTTTCCAGGCTGCTGCCTTTCCCCAGTCTAGACCCCCAGTTGTTTCTGCTCCCTCCCTCATGCCCATCTATTCCTGGTTCCTGACATCTGGCCCTTGGTCCTTCCTGCCAGTGTGTGTGGCCTGAGGCCCTCTCCTTTGTGTGCAGCTGCTGCTCCATGGCACAGCCCAGGGCACCTTTCCAAGAGGCTTTGTGTCCATCGCCCTCAGGAGAATCCTCCCTGGATCAAACGTGCCATGCTGTCCCTGCCAGCCTCTTAGCCCCAGCTCCTCCTCTGCTCTTTCCCCTGCCCTTTGGGTGCTCCCTTGCGGGCCCCACTCCACAGCCTCCTGTGTCTTGCTGGGGCTCTTTGGGGTGCCGCTCCTTTGTACCCCGTGATCACTTCAGATTTGCGTCCATCTCCTCCTCATTGTAAGCAGGGTAGGGCGGGGATGTCTTCTCTGCGGCACTTCAAGACTGGCAAAGGCCCGTGGGCTCACGCCAGTCCCAAGCACTGGAACAAGCCGGTCAGGCCAGCACTGTGCAAGACTGTCCTCAGAGTGGGTTTGTTAAGAGGCCCCCTCCAGTAGGATGTTCACATGTCCTCATCCCACCCTCATCTGCTCTGCCTTTCCCTGGGCATGCGGCCTTGGATGTGACTCAGCCCGGTGGCTTTCTCCCAGGTTCTCAGTTGTAATCTGCCATTGTTTGAAATGTCCTATTGGCAGTGTGAAGGGGGGTTATTTATTCTCAGGTCTGTGGTTTCTAATGAAGCCTGACCCACAGGGACAGTGTCAGTGAGCACCTGGTGGGTGGAGGCTCGTGGCTCACTGTGCGGCTGATGACAGGCATAAAAGCTGCCCAGTGATCACTCTGCCTCCTTGCAGAAGGAACCTACTAAACTTGCGTGGGTTTTTTTTTTTTTTTTTTTTTTGAGAGTTTTAAAACTCTTGAGTGCCAGAAGAGGCCAGTCCTCAGAGATGCTCTTCAGCCTCCTCACTCTTTCAGAGCTGGGTCAGGCCTGGTGTGTGCTTGGTGTCCAGGAGGCCGGCAGTATCGGCTGATGTCTGTTCTTAGTGACCACTTGGTGCACATTCACTGTGCCTCGCCTGAGCTGCCGGGTCAGGTGTCCCCAGGCCTGAGAAGGGAGATGGCTCTGCAGCTGTGCACAGGACCTCCAGGCTCCTGCGGTGTGTGGGCTGGGGGCCTCCAGTGATCTGGTCCACATTTGCTGTGTGCCTGAGTGCCTGTGCGTTTATTGAAAATGGAATTTGAAGCTGCCTTTGTTACCACCCTTTTCTAGGTGGAGTCTTCAACCTGGGGCCCTCCAAGGGTTGTTCTTTGTAGGTTATTCCTGTCCATGGGCTGCACTCTGGGCCTTGCATGTGTCTGTTCTTGGCTCTCGAGGCACTCTCCTTCAGCCTCTTGCCAGGTCTTTGCTGGAACCGGGGCCATGTGGTAGGGGTGCCATCCCTCGCCCAGCAGGAAGTGGCAGTGAGGACTGAAGCCTGGGCCTGTCCTCGAGTCCACTGCTCCAGCGCCGCAGGCCTCAGCCGCCTGTGGAAAGCAGCCCACGGAAGATGACCCCTCGCTAGGAGGCCGCCTGGCTGTGCTCGTTTTCTTGCCTGCAACACTGTAAACGTGAGGAGGCCCAGGGGCTGCGGGCCAGGGGTTGATTGGCTGCATCTCAGATGCCAGTGTTGGCTCGCTCTTAAACAGACACTTAAGCTGACTTTTGTCCATTCTTCTGATTTTAAAGCAGTACAAATGTCAGGAGCCTCTCTTGATATTGTCTCCCCAGTTTGTTTTTAAGAGCTGTGGTAAGTGATCCTAGGAAGCCCTCAGCTGGAGGTAGGACCTCAGACTGATCTGCAGTTTCTGGAGCATTCATGCTGCCCGGCGCTTCTGGGTGCTTGCCTCTGAGTGAGAGGGCCCATGGTTCACTGCCCTGTTTAGAGTTGTCAGAAACCTCAAGCCAGCCTCCTGCCAGTGAGGTTCTGCCTCACCTGGTGGGAGTTGTAGCTGGAATGGGTTTGGCACCTGGGCAGGTGAGAATTCGTAAATGTTCGCAGGATATCTCAGATGCCATGTTACAGTTTTGTCCTGAGAGTATGGTGGAGCTCGCTCACCAGGCTGCAGAGGCATCACTGCCTGCCACTGAGCTGTTGTCCAGGGCACATGTGGGGCCAGTATTAGGAGGAAGGATCTGTGGGCGACTCATCTCAGGGCTGCTGTTTGTCCTCTTTGTCCCCAGCCAGGCATCTGTCCCGTCATCAAGGTCATGGGAAAGGGCACCACACCCACCTGCTCTGTTGGCACCTGCCTCATGGTGCCACTCCCACCCTCAGGTCCAGGACCTGCTAGAGGACACCTGGCAACTGTGGCAGTGACTTGTCCTGCCACTGCTGTGCCGCTGGTGTGCCTCATAACCTGGGGTCTGATGTGACCTTTCTATGGCAGGTCCTGCACCTGTAAAGTGCAGACCTGGGGACAGGGACTTTTAGGGTTGCTGTGAGGACTCAATTGTTAGTGCAGGCAGGGAGCCCAGCATGGGGAGGGGCCCAGGATGTGGAGCTGAGACCACCTGCATCCTCGAATCTCTGTGTGTCTCCTGCCCTGGAGCTGAGGGGCCGCTGCCACTGCCTCTGTCCTTGGCCACCTGTAGCTCCTGCACCCTCCTCAAGCCCCAGAGAGGCCTGCTGGCATCCCTGGCAGAGACCTGGCATCCTCCCTCACCCGGAGGTGCCTCTGTTGTGCGGTGTGACCGTGCTTGGCACTGAGGAAGTGGAATGGCTGGAATTCCAGGTGGAATGGCTGTCTCCTGACCCAGAGGAGGGTGGGGCAGGGGTGCTGTGGGGTGGGGTGGGTTGGGCCCGCCCCTCCCATGGTGTATGAAGACCCGTCAGTTCAGCCCCTGGGGAGTTGTGGAGCCCCAGATGCTCCTTGCTGAGCACAGAGAGAGAGCTTCATGACCTCCTCTCTGCCGGAGTCCTCCTACCCATCCTGTCCCCACCGCGACCCTGGGCAGTCTGTCTCTGTTGGCTGGGGTAGACAATATGCAGGCCGGCTGTCCGAATTGGTTCCATGCTCTGTGGCAGTTCCACATCCCTGTGTTTGTGCATTTTGCTCCTGTGCGAGGCTCTTCAGAGCCCTTGTGCCCCTGGAGTGTTGGAAGAGGCCTGTATGGGTGGGCCTGCCTGTTCTCCGGGTCTCGATCCTAGTGGGTCCTGCACTTCTGCCCTGTGGCCTGCCCCTCCTGCCTTGCTGCTCTGCAGGGTGAGCAGGGGCGTGGAGAGCTAGGGGCTCCTGGCCGCATCTGTACTGGGGCTACTGGGGCCTTCGCCTTGCTCCTGGAGGTTTGTGCGCAGCTTCCCCACCTAGGGGAGGAGCCCTGCTCGAAACCGATTTCTTGTCCTGGGGCCATCGCTTTTGTGCAGGGCTTTGCAGGGCCCTGGTGTATTTGAAGAAGCTAAAAAGCCCTTGCCACAGTGGAAAGGGGTGCTGGCTAATTGGCAGCTTTATTTATTTATTTCTGGCTGAGTGGTAAACAGCGCTGATTCTTCGCACAGCGGGAACAGATTGGGAGGCATTTACCTGATTGATTCCTCACCTGCAGTGCCGCGCTGCCAGAGGATCTATCGATTCGGCGCCACCTGCCAGGCCCACTCTGAAACAGGCTTAATTGCCTCCGACTCGTTTCCTGAGATGGCACGTCCTGGGCGTCCTCGCCTGGAGGCTGCTGCCTCTGGGGGTGTTGACGCCTCTCTTGTGTGCCCTTGGTGGGTCGTGTGCTCCTTGGGTGGACTGGGGTGCTCTCCTACATGGTAGGGAAGGAAACCCAACTGTTACCAGCTCAAGCACAAACAGAGCCCACCTGGTGTCAGCTGTGCTCACACATAGGACCAGGTGCTCGCCAGTGCCCTCTGTCCCACACCCCAGCCCAGTTTCGCTTGCTGGGAGCCCTCCTGCAGCGTCACTGGGTTGTGACGTGCAGTTTCATCTCAGTCCCTGAGCCAGTTGAGCTCTCCTGCTGCTCTCTAAGCCACACTCAGCAGAAGAGAGGCAGGCGAAGTACCGGCCGCCTTGTTTGTACGCTTCCCTACCAGGGCAAGACAGGCAGATGGTGGCGGGGGGGGAAGCTTACCTGGGAGGGGTGCTGGGTGGGCTGCGGCCGTCACCACCTACACAGACGCCATGGCGGCACATGTGCAGCTCTGGATGCATCCTGCCCTGTGACTTCCCAGCTGCGCCTGGGGGTGTGCGCATCAGCCTCACACCAACACCATGGCGGCACATGTGCAGCTCTGGACACAACCATGTGACTTCCCAGCTGTGCCTGGGGGTGAGCATTAGCTCCATCACCTGTGCACCTGCACAGCTGGCAGGCATGGCCCCAGCACTGGAGCTGACTTGCTGTCTTCTCTGACCAAGGCCGTATCCTTCTTGCCTCTCACCTGCCTGGAGAAGGCCAGAGTCAGCTCCTTGGTTTATGGTTCCAGGACCTGGTGATTGGCTGCTTTAAGTGATAGTTATCAAGGAGCTAGAGAATATTTTAAGACACTTTGAGCTGTGAGATTCAGTGAGGCACATGAGGTGGACAGGTCTGACATGGGCAGTCTGAGCATTTCCCCAGCCCGCTGGCCACATGCAGGGTGGCCACTGCTCCGACCTCTCTTAGTGATGGCTTTCCTGTGGATGACATGAGGCAGTTCTCCCTGTCCCTCCAGACTCCCCCAGGAAGCCACTGTTAAGACTCGAGGCCTTTTTCCAAGAGTTTCTCTGTCCCTCCTGTTTCCCTGTCCCTGCTCCAGAAGCCACTGTTAACACCCAGGGTCTTTTCCCCAGTGTGTTGGCACATCTTGGCTCCCTGGCCCTTCTGTGCCCCTCTGCCGGTTCCTCAGGTGTCCACTCATCCAAGCCCATCTGGCTGCTATATGGGCCTGCATTCCTGTTGTGCCAGCCCCTGCCTGGTGCTGGAGAGGATGGAGAGTGAGGCAGACAGATCTCATCATCTGGAGTATACAGGCCTGCAAGGGAGGTTGGATGTCATTGGGCTCGTAGAGAACTAGGGAAAGGTGTGGGCTTTCCCTCCCTACCCGCCCCTTCCCCACCAGGCTCTGGTGCCAGAGGCTGAGTTTGGCCAGGTTGGTTCTGGGCCCGAGCAGCCTCCTGCTGGTGACAGTTCCAGGATGCCCTGATCCACAGTGTAGTCCTGTTCCGCTCCCTCCCAGGAACCCAGAGGCCTGTTATTCTGAGGTCTGTGGTTTCTAATGAAGCCTGATTCATGGGGACAGTGTCAGTGAGCACCTGCCTGGCAGTGCACCCCTGGGCACCGTGAATCTGCTGATGAGCCTCTTGTAGCAGCTATGAGGCCGTGCCTGCCACTCCCAGGGGGGCTCCAGGCAGGGCCATGCTCCTGAGCTCTGCCTGGACCAAGTGTGTGTGGTGTATTTGCAGCCTCCCTCGTCCCTGCCTGTCCCTGTTGTGCCCGGCAGCTGCTGGTGGCCTGGGTGTGGAGGCCTCTCTCTCATGCTGAGCAGAGGTTGGGAGAGGGCCCCCTAGGTGGAGGAGCTACATCTGGGCTCATCCTCCTGGCAGTGCCCAGTGCCTGCACCTCATGTGGAAACTGGGCCAATCAGTGAGTGGGGGACTGAGATCACGAGGCCTCAGGCAGGAAGGGCCCCAGAGCTGCCTGGTCTAGCTCATCCTAGTGAATGCTGTGGCGGGACCCCTGCCCCGGGAGCCCGCACCAGGAGTGTCCTTACAGCAGGGGCTGGTGTGTCTCTGCAGGAGCCCTGCCGTCACCATGCAACTCCGCTTAGGCCCAGCTCCCTCGAGTCCAATCGTGCTGTGATGGCAGCTGCCTGTCTTCCTTGCTGGGCCTCCCTGAGGCCGGGGTCTGTGTCTGCCCTGGAGCAGGTGAAGGGGTGAAGACCTTTCTTGCCCTGCCCTGGAGGCCACACCAGCCTGTTGGGACCCTATTCTGATCCCGGCCTGCAGCCTTAGAAACAGAGGCAGCTCCAAGGTTCTGCTCTCCCCCGAGTTCCTCCCGTGAGGGGTTCACAGACTGCCTTCCTGCCTCCTGTCCTGCACCCCTGCTTTTCTTGGCATATGCTCTTGTTTACAAGTCTCTCACACAGTGATGCTCTTAGATAATTATTATGTTTCTAAAATGCCTTGGTTTTGTGGTGTTGGGGAAACAAAGCAACAGAACACACAGTCCTGGCTCTGAGGAAGCCTCTGGGTAGGCTGGGCAAGAGTCAGACCCATGGGGCGCAGGAAGCCTGGCAGAAGGCAGCACCGACGTCTGGGCTTCAGCTTGGCGCCTGCACTGCCAGTGCCTCCTCCTGGTGCCAGGTTCTGGGGAAGCCATGCATATTGCAGTGTGGTGACCCCCATGGCCACCACCCCATACTTTCCAGGGTGTGGTGGTCATAGTCCTGGGCTTTCTCAGAGGATGGTGCTGGCTATGGAGGCTGGCCGCTGCAGCGCTGCTTTTGTTATCAGCTGGGAGAAAGTGATGGAGGGCGTTGAGCTGGGTGAGACTTTAGGAGGTGTGATTTGCTGTAACACACAGGCGGGGCTGTTGGGGTGAGCACATGCCACTGTGGTCAGGCTGTAAGGAATGGTCCTGAAAGACAGGCAGCAGGGGAAGGGGTACTGTGTTGGGCAAAGCCAGCAGGTGGAGAGGGCCAAGAGAGGAGGAGGCTGCCTCACCACCGACCCAGCATGAGGCACTTGACTGCAGGAGGCTTTGCTTCATTTGGATAAGTGAAAAGGCAGGCGCCACTGGGTCCCAGGGAGAGCCCAGAGGGCCTGATGGGAGGTTGGAGAGTGTGACCTGGGGCTTCTCCACCCAGGGCTTCTCCACCTGGGGCATTGCTAGGGATGTCTTGGGCGAGTCCTGGGAGGAGGTGGAGCGAGGAGTATGCTGAGGGTAGCTTTTGGGGAATAAGGAGCTCTTGGTTGGATGCTTGGAATGAGGGGAGATCCGAGATCAGAGTCATGGACCCCAGCGAGGAGCCAGTGGGAAAGAGCCCAGGGGTCTGGAACAGTTGTTGCGGGACATGTGTAGCAGCCCTCTGTAAGCCGCATGGGTGTGGCCGGGACCATGCTGGGGGTCCCCTGCTGGACTGGCAGGCTCTCCTTCCTCGGCAGCACTTTGGGTTTCAGGGTACATTGTCACTCAGCACAGGTTGCCCCCCAGATCTCCAGCCCTCTGTCCTGCAGCCTTAGCTCACCTGCTGCTAAGTCAAGGGCTTGGAGGCCTCTGACATCTGCATGGGGGCCAGAGCACCGGCACGTGCTGTCTCCACAGTCGGGGCCTGAGAGCTGCCTGGGGCCAAATTGCGCAGGGCTGGGAGGATGTAAAGAGCTGCTTTTGTGGCATTGCACAGCTTTGCACAGCTGTAGAGAGTGTGCACCCCACGATAGCTCCTGCCCAGTGCATCTGGGTGGGAGGTGGAGGGCTCTCACTCCCGTCCCAAACTATGTGGCTCACTGTCAGAAAGGGTGTGTGACAGAGACATGGTAGAGAAGGCGCTACAGAGAGCTACAGCCTGGGAGCTTCTCATGTCTGTGAACCAGGGAGGGGGCACTCCTCTGGTCACTTCACTTTTTGTTGTTGTTTGTTGTTTGTTTGTTTTTGAGACAGAGTCTCGTTCTGTTGTCTAGGCTGGAGTGCAATGGCATGATCCTGGCCATTGAACTCGCCAGGAAGCTTGAACTCGCTTCCTGGGTTCAAGCGATTCTCCTCCCTCAGCCTCCCAAAGTAGCTGGTAATTAAAGGCACATGCCATCATGCCTGGCTAATTTTTGCATTTTTAGTAGAGATGGGTTTTTACCATGTTGGTTGGGCAGGTCTCAGACTCCTGAGTTAGTGATCCGCCTTCCTCGGCCTCCCAAAGTGCTAGGATTACAGATGTTAACCAGCACACCAGGCCTGGTCACTTGTTTTGAGGGAAGAATGGAGAGGGAGGGAAAGGAGGGCACTGGGACAGGAGAAATTTCAGAGTAGATGAAACACAGCAGGAGGCCGGGCTGCCTGGTGTGAACCTCCTTGCTTTGTGAAAACACCCCTTTGCCAGCAGCACTGGGCAGCACTCACCCTGTAGCCCTGGAACTCGAGCCCGACAGCTCCTGCTTATCAGCGCGGGCATCTGGGAGGCAGACCATCATGCAGGGCTGGATGCTGGGTTGAGCAGGGGGCAGCTGGGTGCATGGAACCTGTGGCCTTGATGGAGGACAGCTCAGCTCCAGGTCTGCACTGCAGGTCAAGGCTCAGACACGGGAGGACACTCGCTGGGCACCTCTCCTCTGAGAGCAGGCTGTGACCCACATGGCTGTGGAATGCTAGGGATGTGTTTGTGCGTGCCTCATGTCACCTGTGAAATGCCTGTGAGATGCAATGTGGGTTTTGGAGGGACGTGCTCAGCTGATGGCAGTGCCTCATCCCGAGGGAAGACTGAGCTGAGCCTGCCCTGAGATGGCACGAACCTGTGGTGGAGGCAGTGTGTGGGCAGGGGCTGGGAGGGACGGCCCTGTTCCTTCACTTCCTGTCACTTGCCCCAGGGAATTTGGACATTGAGGACCTGTCACTGACAACAGCCTTGATAAGGCTTGCTGGGGAGAAAATACTGGCCCAGCATGTTGAGTGGTCTGCGTCTTGCCACATTCATACCGTGCGCTGCAGATGCTGGGCAGACCCCTGTGTGCACACGCTTCCACATGGCCAAGCTCCTGTGGCTCTCACGCATCACTTGGGGCTGACCTCCTTGCTTCTGGGAGCCTGACGGCAGCACTGGGGGAGGCCCTGCTGGTCAGGAGGGAGGGTTCACCTGCATAGTGTGCTGGTGAGATATGTGACCACTGATCACACTCTGCGTGTGTCGTGCGTGGGACTGGTTCTGCAGAGGAGCCCCCAGAGTAGGGCTGACACTGTACCCTGGATGCTGCCCTGTCCACTCCAGTGGAGGGTCTGACAGGCTGCAGCTAAATGACACCGCTGGCAGCACAGTGTCCTGCATCGTGGTCAGGAGTGGCCAGCTGGCCACTTGGGATGAGTGTTGGCTGCACAGGGTGGAGGGCGGTTAAGGGACACTGAGCTGGCCTCATGGGCTGGAGACTTCTAGGGCAGTCAGGCGACCTGATCCTCTCCTGTCCTGCCCATTGCTGGATGCTAGGGAACATTTGGGGTATACTTAAGGGGCCATAACTATGGAAGGGACTGGGGCCAGGGATGCCAGTGTCCGGCAGTTGTTGGGATGTTTGTGGATACAAGTGAGTTGTTTTGCCCCAAAGGCCAGCAGGGCTCTATGGAGACACACCCCTCATGGTTGGGCACTTCCTGATGCTGTCCTCTCCCCAGCAGGGCTTCTGTCGTCCCCTATCCTGTGTTTATTCTCACGCTGCTAGTAAACACATACCCGAGACTGGGTGATTCATAAAGGAAAATGGTTTCATTAACTCACAGTTTATCATGGCTGGGGAGGCTGCAGGAAAATGAAAATCATGGCGGAAGGGAAAGCAAACACGTCCTTTTTCCTATGGTGGCAAGAAGGAGAACTGCCAAGCAAAAGGACGAAAAGCCCCTTATAAAACGGTCACATCTCTCGAGCTCACTCACTATCATGAGAACAGCAACATTGAACAAAAAGGGGAAAAGCCCCTTATAAAACAGTCACATCTCTCAAAAGCTTACTCATTATCATGAGAGCAGCAGTGAGAGGGTAACTACCACCAGGTCCCTCCCATGACCCATGGGAATCATGGAAACTAAGATGAGATTTGGGTGGGGACACAGTCAAGCCGTGTCATATCACACCTCCTCATTGTGAATTGGCAGCCTCCTGTCAGTTGAGACCACGACCTTGGTGGCGGCCTCCGTTTGTGTGTTTCTCACAGCCTCTATCTGCACCAGCAAATGCTTGTGGAGCTGGATTGCCTGTGAGTTTGCACAGGGGTTGACTTGGCTTGGGAAAATGCCCTGGGAATGGGGTGCAGCTTCCCTACAGAGCCTTGCTTCTCCCTGGCAGTGGCCCCTGGGCCTGCCAGGCTGTTCAGCAAGGAGGGACCCGGGGAACGTAGTATTACAGGAGACTCTTAGCTGCTTCTGGTCTTTCCTGCCTGCTTTGGCTGCCTGCCTGGCTGTCTCTGCCAGCCTGAGCTCTAGAAAAGGCTGTGTTCCCAGTGTCAGAGCCTGGACACCCTCTCTGGCTGCACTGGGAGCTCCCCGAAGTCGGGTTTCCTTGTCTTCAGATGGTGATCAGCACTGTGCCATGCTGGGTGTTTGATGTGGGCCTTCACTTGTTCATTGCAGATACTTCTTCATCTCCACTGTCTTCTTTGCCATGAACACACTTCAGGATCTCCTGGGACTTTGTGCAGCACTGCCCAGGCCTGCAGAGGCAGGGTGCAGACCTCCTTGTACGTGGTGATGTGCCTGCCTCCTCAGCTAAGGCCCTCTCACGGACTCTGGGACATCCAGATGCCATACTCTCTGCTAGGTCCCATGGCCTGTCCTGCCTCTTCCTCAGGTCTCTTCTCTGGCTTTTCTGCTCCAGCCAGATGGACCTGGGCCCCCTGCACCAGTATGACACATGACCTGTTACTGCTTTTCCACTAACTGCCACTCCCACAGCTCTGTTTACACACATGAGCCCCCCCGCGCTGGCCTGCCACGTGTGAGCACCTGGCTTATCCAGGCCCTGCCCACCTAAGGTCTTGCTGGGGACACCTTGATTTCCCCGCCCTGGCATTTGTCATCTGTGCTGGCTCTCTGGGGGCTTGCTGCTCCATCGTCCTTCCTGGTGAGATTCTCATCTCTTAGAGGACAGAGGCTCCTTGTCGCTCTGTTCAGGAGGCGTTTGTTCCACACCTGCTGTGTGCAGCCCACTTTAGGTGCTTCAGGAACATGAGATGAGTCAGGCCTGAGTCTCGTTCGTCCTCCAGCGCTCGGCGCACATGCAGCTGCCTGCCCTCCAGCTGCACCCACACACTCTACTCCCCAGGCCTGGCTCTTGCTCCCTGTGGTACTGGGAAGGGGGCTTAAGAGGAGCCTGCAGCTAGGACTGCTGGGAGCAGCAGCCGACATGCCAGTGTGGACAGTGAGGTCCTCTCATGCCCTTCAGCTCTTTCTATGGTTGCCTTGGCTCTTATTTCGTGTTGAGGAAACAGAGGGATATTGGTTAGAGTGTGGTTGGTTAAGTGGTGGGCAGTGGGGCTGGGCCCTGTTCCCACTGAGCCTGATCCCCGCTCCACGGTCTCTGTCAGTGCAGCCCCCTTCTGTGTTGAGGTGGTGGGATGCTGGCAGGAGAGGGTTGTTGGCCTGGGGCAGGAGGAATGGGAAGTCATGACCTGAGAGCTTCTCCCTGCAGCACCCGCCACTGTCCCCTCCTGATGGCAGTGCCCAGGCTGTGCCTCACTGCATTCCCTCTGCTCCCACTGCTCCATGCAGGCCACGAATGGCATGTCCTTCTTGTTGGCCAGGATTCATCCGGACCTTGGGGGCAGGGCCATGGTTTCCCTGGATGTGCCCGTGCGGGAGCCATGCAGACTGAGTGCCTGCAGCCCTGGTGTCGACACGACATATGGAGCCCCCATCCAGTGCCTCCTCTGACCCCATGACCCTGGAACATGCCAGGATTGCTGGGAAGGGTCCTGAGCCAGCGCCCCTTGCGTCCTTCTGCATGGGGGCTTCCACATTGCGTCAGTGGTGGGCCCCAGGTTCTAGGGAGCCCTGGGTCGCGGGCCTAGGATAGCAGACTGAGCGGGTGCTGCTCCAGCTGTTTGGGCTCTGGCAGGTCTCCCAGGTGCTCCGCTCTTTTCTGCTACACTGGTCCGGAAGGCTCCCTGCTGGTGCAGCAGTGCTCACTGGAAAGCAGGGCTTTGAGGCCCTTGTGTTTGCAAAGCAGATCCTTACCGAGAGCCCAGAACTACCTGTGGGCCTCAAAAGATGGGTCTGGCAAGTGTCTTGCGTGAAGGGCCAGAAGGGCTTTGTTGGGTAGGGGGTGGGGTCTCTGTTGAAGATGCTGAACTCTGCCACTGTGCTATGAGGGCGACAATGCTATTCGTATTTGATTCTGTATGACTGTGCTCCAACAAAACTTTGTTTAAGAAAAAAAGTTACTTACAAAAACAGGCTGCAGACAGGATTTGCCCACAGGTTGTAGTTGTTGGACCCTGTTAAGAAACCACAGTCCAAGTCATAGCCGTGTTCATCTGGGTGTTTGCTGTGGGCCTTCACTTGTTCATTGCAAATACTTCATTTCTACTGCCCTCTTTGCCAGGGACACACTTCAGGGTCTCCTGGGACTTCTTGCAGCAGGGCCGTGGCTTCCCTGGATGTGCTCATGTGGGAGCCATGCGGACTGAGTGCCTGCAGCCCCAGCGTCTACATGGCACGTGGAGCTCCTATCCAGTGCCCCCTCTGGCCCTATGACCCCGGAACATGCCGGGATTGCTGGGAAGGGTCCTGAGCTGGCGCCCTGTGGTGTGAATGCAGCCTTGCATCCTTCTGCCTGGGTGCTTCTACACTGCACCAGTGGTGGGTTCTGGGTTCAGGGGGAGCCCTGGGTCTCCAAGTCATAGCCGTGCTCATCTTCATGAAGCATCCCGCCATCAAGTGATGTCAGCTTGGGCCTTGCTGCAGGGTGGCGTCCTGCAAGATGCAGATCCCAGCAGTGAAGCTTTCAGTTTTGAAAATTGCTTCCTTCAGGAAAGATGCCCTAGGACCATATACCTTGTGTCCTGAGGGAGGATGGTGTCCACCAGTGTTAGGCCTGGCCAGGCGGCACTGCAGGGTGGGAGCTGTGTCCTGTGTGGGGAAGGCCCGACGTTTCCTGCCCAGACTGTGGGCTGGCCTGGGGCTCTCCCACCTGAGGTGTGTTGACATGGCCTTTGGGATGAGTCATTACCATCGGGCCATTTGCCCTTTTGTCTTTCTCGTGTGTCTTGCATGTTCTTTTGGGAAATTTCTGACATAACATTACACTGACGGAAAAGTTGCAGAAGTAATGGAGAATGTTTCCGCACACTGTCCACCAGCTTTCCGGAGGATAACATCTTGTGAGCCTCCGTATAAGTTATCAGAAGCTGTAAGGTGTTGGCACAGCAGGCGCAAGTCCTGACTGCATTCAGATCTTGCTGGCTCTCCCACTGAGGTCTTTTTCCTGTGCCAGGATATGGTCCGGGAGCCCCCTTGTGTTTGGCGGCCCCGGTCCCACACTGCACTCTGGGACAGGAGAGACTGCTCCCCAGTCTTTCCTGTTGTCGTGCCCCTGCCTCTTCGAGAGCACTGGCTGGGTGTTTTGTGGCTGTTCCTCGGTTGGAGCGAGTCTGATGTTCTACATGATTAGGTTGAAGTTACGCATTTTTGAACAGAAAGTCATAACAGAGATGTAGTGCCCCTCTGGGTGTGTGATGTTGGGGTGTGTGAAGTCACCATGTTCTGTTGCGGGTGGTGGTCACCGTGGTCACCTGGCAGAAGCCTTTCTAAATGCATGGCTGCGGCTTTTTTCTGGTAATTACTAAGTATCTTGGGGAAGATGCTTTGAGAATATGCAAATACCCTTTTTTTTTATTATTATTATTTTGAGACAGAGTTTTGCTATGTCACCCAGGCTGGAGTGCAGTGGCACGATCTTGGCTCACTGCAACCTCCGCTTCTCGAGTTAAAATGATTCTCCTGCCTCAGCCTCCTGAGTAGGTGGGACTGCAGGTGCATGCCACCATGCCCTGGTAATTTTTGAATTTTTAGTAGAGGCAGGGTTTCACCGTGTTGGCCAGGCTGGTCTCAAACTCCTGACCTCAAGTGATCCGCCCTCCTCTACCTCCCAAAGTGCTGGGACTACAGCTGTGAGCCACCACGCCCAGCCCCTATTTCTTAGAAAAACTTATTCTGCTAGTTCAAACATTCATGGTGCATCTCAGCTGTGGGGCTCGTCACTGTGGTCACAGGGTGGTTTCTGTCTGCCCATCTCTTGCATGTTTCCTTATGGGACTCTTTGCTGAGGGAGACTCTGCCCCTCAGCCCCGTTTAATCAGTCATTCATGTCAGTTACTTCCGTGTCTTTTTCACTTCATGGCTGTGACCCAGTGCTCTGCTGATCTGCTTCATTCACATTATTGTAGCCTTGGCCACTGGGAACTCTCACAGGTGGGCTCTTGTGTCCTGTGATTTACCCTCATCTTTTTTTAAACTTTTTTTTTTTTTAATTATCGGCCACTGCAAGATGCTCTAAAGTTAGATTTTTCCTGCCCCTTTCCTGGAGTCCACCACTTTCCCAGAGAGCCCTGTTTTCTCTTGTTGTGGAGTGCTGCTTAGAGATGAGATGTGGGTGTGGGGTGTTCCCTGCTCTGGGTGCGTCAGGGCCCTGGGGCCCCTTGGTGGACACCCTGACCCTGGCTCCATCCAGCATCCCCAGCTGTCCTTGCCTCCTGTGCTTTGTCTCCTCCATCCTGAGAAGCCCAGCTGTCAGCACACACCATGTTTACCCATCCAGTCCTGATGTGTGCACAGTCTTTCCAGAATTGCTAACCCACAGCTCTACACGGGGAGGTTGAGTCTCGAGGGTACGGTGTCTGCACATAGGCCTTTCTGTCTCTGGCCTCACGCTTTCCAGTGGAAGTGGTGTTTGCTCAGCACCATGGGTGCTGTCCTATTTCCCACCTCCTTGGCATCGTGTTCTTCATTTGTGATTCCCTTAGGTTCACCGCTTAGAGCTGGTGTTTTATTTTGGGTCTTTCTCATTCTGGTTAATTAAAAAAAAATGTATATACACCCTCATTTGCCTTTCTGCTGTTCACCTGTGGATTTTCACTTGCAGCCTAACCACCCCAAACCCCCATGTATTCACCCTCCCTGCAATCCCCTCCCTGACCCCAGTATGCTGTCTCGTGATTTTGCCTTTTCCAGAGTGTCATACAATTGTGGCTTGTTTCACTCATGGAGGTGCATTTGGGACTCATCTGCATGGCTGTGTGAATCGCAGTGCTGCTTTTCATTGCTGAGTGATGCTCCAGGCACGGCTGCTCCGGGTCTTGTTTATTCATTCAGTGGGGATATCTGAAGGATATCTGTGTTTTTTCTGGGATTTGGTGAAGTGGAGTGAAGCTGTGGGAAACGCTGGCTTTGTATGATCCAAACTCTTACTTTTCCTGGAGCACATACTTAGGAGTGGGACTGTTGGATCCTGATATCCTTTTAACTTCATGAGACATTGCCATATGTGTCTCCACAGTGGGGAACCACCCGGTGTGTGTGTTTGTGGTGTGTGCACACCCACTCTGCACAGCCCTGCTCGTGCCGGGCCATGCCAGCGTTTTGGCCCCCACAGGGCCGCATGTGCTGCGTGTTGAGTTTTCCAGCATGCGGCTACCAGCCCCAACCTGGCCTCAGACAGTCACCGTAGTGCTTTCTGTAGCCCCCATCCATGTTGGCCTGCACAACGCTCTGGATTTCTGGTCATTGCTGACTTGTAGCCCCTTTTCTCCATCTGCTTTCCCATGTATCAGGATCCCACGTATCTCAGTGGTTACGTTTTTCTTCCTTTTGATACACTGAAGAAACCCCAAGGTCTTTTATCTTTCTTCCCTTCCGCAGTGTTCTTTTTCATTGATCTCTGTTCTCCTGTGACTTTAGGAAAAGATTGTACTTCGTTCATCCAAGGCACACCCCTTGACTAGAGCAGAGAGCAAGGGCTGAGCAGCAATGGTCTTGAAAGCTCCTTGCCACCTGGACCGGGGGCAGGGCAGCCGGCGTGCAGAAGTGGAGGAGCGTATGGAGGCACCTGTGGGCCAGCTTCCCCAGCCCCTCTGTTTTTGTCTGCGGGATGATCACACTGACCCACACACAGCATGGGGGAGTGAGGGGCGGGCAAAGTGGTTGCTCAGTGTGTGCGCTCCTTCTCTCTCCCTGTTTCTTCTTTGTTCCTCTTCTTTTTCAATTTACTTTTCCTCCAAGGACTTGCCCGCAATGTGCCCCGTGGACTTTGACATCGAAGCTCTCTTCTGCTCTTTGTGCCCTACGCTTCCTACTCCATTCTTCCTTCCTTTGCTTGTGTCCAGGACTACAGGGGATGATGGGGTGAGAGCAGAGAAAGTCAGGGACATAGTGAGCTTTGCTTGCACAGGAAGGGTTTGCCTGCACTGTCATCTCCTTGGCTCTGCTGGAAAACTGTATGTGAGGGAGATATGGGGGGTCTGAGCACAGATGGCTATTGCCCTGTGAGATGCAGGAAGCATTGTTTATGGGTGTGCACCATGGAATCCCCTGCTTGGACTGCACTGGGGGCAGGCAGTGAGTCTTGGTACAGAAGTAGCTTTTATTATTGATTGGTGAAGCCCGTTGCAGATCTGAAAGCATCTTAATAGTCTGAAATCATGGCTCTTCGTCAAGAAAAATTTGATTTGGAACAAAAGGGAGACACTCGAGACCCAAAACTACTGCCTGTGTTGAGGATGGAAAGGAGGCCTTCATCTGCCGCATGTCTGAGTCACTCTGGGGAGTTTTCTCCACGGTCAGTGTGAGTCATAGCGAATCATTGTTGGGTTGTGACTTCAGAAGCAGTGAACGCTCTCTCAGACTGTATTAATAGAAGTAGATGCCTCACAGGAAAGGAGGTGGCAGTGCTACTGTGCAAGTCACAGAGCCCTGCGTGGTCTGGTTTCCATTTTGGGCGTGGCTCCTAAGCGGGGACCTCTGAAGGGACCAGGAGCAGCTGTTCGGCTGCCCGCTCAGTTGTGCCTGCTGTCTACTGAGGCGTGGGATGCAGACTTGCAGCCATGAGCACACAGTCCAGCCATGGAAGGAGGCTTCAAGAATCTTCCAGGTGCTGCCGTCTTGACTTCTACGTCATTTTTATAACCTGTGTGAGATCAATGGAGGGGAGCCCTAGGAAAATTGGCTGTGGTTTAATAAACAGAACTACCTGCTGCTTTGAGCCAGAGCCTGCTGGACTGAAAAGGCATCGGCCTTGTGGCCACACCTGGGTCTGTGCTCTCCTGACTATGCTGAGCCCATGCTTGTTGCGTTATTAGCAGCCTGACCTCTGTGCCATGGAGTATAAGGGTGGATATCGTCAACTCTTAAGACTTTGTGTGTGTGTTCAGAAAGTACCCAAACGGATTCAAAGGAATAATTAGCGTATCCTGTAAGATATGAATCTTAATTCCTAAATTACATATTTAGCAGATTGTCCAAAATAGCACTTGTAATGGCAACATTCAATTAGTGAGTTTAAAAAATGTATATTATTGCAACACTCTCCATGAGTTTTATTTAGAGGTTTCTAAATATAACGCTATAAAAACACAGAAGTGTTTAAAACGATTTAGACCCACACAGCCGCACTGAATTCTTGCTAAACTTCCTATGTTAACCAGCTCTTGCACAGTCTTTGATTGTGGAAATGTCTTCTGATGTATTTCTTAAAGCTGAAGCCAGAGCATCATTGAGGCTATCAGGATCCCAAGGCTGCACACCTCCCTGCTGTGAGTTCTGACGTTTACAGAGTCCTTGGGGCCTCTACTCCTGAGTGCGCTCCTGGGGTTGGTTGGCATTGGGCTTGCAGGCAGCAGTTTTCCTCCTGCTGTGCAAGGTTCAGCTCCTGTGTTGCCATGTTACCTGCTGCTGCTATAGCCGTTTCTCCTGACCTGATTCTGTGTGCACCTCCAGTGCCCTCCTGGGCTGCTTAGGATAGGGATTGTCCATGTTGCCTGAAGAAGAAACTGAGACCCGGGGAAGTTGCATGTAATTGATACTGGAGAGCTGGCTTCATTTCAGGAGGAACAGAGCTCAGGTACTGTGTTCAGAGTTTTCGGTGTAGTCTGGAGATGTGAGGTGATGGGCCCACATGCAGGGCCTGTCCTCTAATGGGAATCTGAAGTGAGTGCAGAGGACCCAGAGCTGAGGGTGAGCAGCTGTGTGGGCACAGGGATGTGTCCAGAATGGCGAGGTGGGGTCTGGAACCTACACTTTGTGGCCCCTGATTGTTTTGCCTTGTGCTCTTCCTGCCAGCCTTTGCTGGGGAACCTGTGCCTCCCCAGGAGTTGGCTAAGAGACTGGTGCCAGTGAAGAAAGGATGGAATTGGATCGTGGATTAGGCCAGCTCCTGGAGGCCTCGTGGACCCACTTCTGACAGCCGCTCTTGCCGGTGTCCCCGTCTCAGAAGGAGCTCTGAGGCTGAGCATTTGCCCCATGGCGGCTGCCTTTGTTTCTCCCATTCTGAAAGGAGATGAAAGTTTCTCACTGACTTTAGAGAGAAAGCCAGAGTGAAAACCCCCTCTTCCAACCCCTGGCTCCCTGTGAAAAGCCAGCCTTCCTGGTAATCAAGTGTTTACAGAGGAAGGCTTTGTTCAGACCCTTTCTGGCGTTCTGTATGTTTAAACAAAGAGCTTTTTAGACCTAAACACAGATGTTCATTTGAAAATGAAAAATCAAATTAAGCAGAACCAGCCTTTGAAAGTTAATGCCCTATAGCAAGTAAAACAAAGGGAGAAAAACACTGTGTTGTAAATTTCACTTAAATAACTTTTTATTTTAAATAAAGTTTTAAACTAAAAAAGTGTAATTTGAAAGCTGCTCATCTTCCTCTCTGTCCTCCAGTAGAACATCTGTGCTGATTCTGACGCGGATGAATGACATGAATTAAACCAAAACCGCCGGAGCGCTCTTTTTACCATAATTACACCTTGTTCATTTCTGAGACACAATGTGGGGATGAAATGCCAATTAAGCCTGCTATGGTAATGAGGTGGGGCCTGAATAGTGATCAGCGGACACGAATCCCACCGGAATTCATTTGCTACAGCCCCCAAGTTTGTTCTGTTCTGATAGGAATGTTACTGTACATCATGAAAATCTTTAGTGCTCCTTGTATTTAAAAATGATCCATTTTGGGGTTTTTGGTCAGCAAGTTTTAAAATAGGTGGTTTCCCAGCACCTGGATGGGCTCTTTGTCTCTGTTGAGCATTCTGGGTGGGGGGTGCCAGTGTTTCCTGCCCACGGCCTCGACTTTCCTGTACAGGTCTGCAGTGTTGCCCATGGCATAGCCCAGGACACAGTCACCAGTGACACACACTAGGCACCATCCCCATGCGTGCACCTACAGATCTGGGTGGTAGCTGAGAAGGCATTTTTACCCATCACTGTGTCCGTGCATTTACCATCCCCGACCCTCACATACCCTCTAATGTTTTGAAACATAGGAAGTAGTTTGAAATTGTGGAAAGCACTATGAAGGAAACTTTTTGGGTGTTGTCAGATGACAGGGTGGGAAGGACATCACTGGGGGCCAGGCAGGGCCTTTCCAGGAGACAGCATCTGAACAGAGGCCTGAGGGCAGCCAGGGGCTGGGCAGGGGTGACCAAGCGGGACAGGAGAGCAGCCAGGGCGCCGGCAGAGCTGGTACAGTGCTGGGATTGTGGTGTGATTGCAGTGGGCGGCTGTTTGAAGACTGGAAGCATGGCAGGGATGAACAAGGGGTGAGCAAGCGGGACAGGCTAGCAGCCGGGGCGCCAGCAGGGCTGGCACAGGGATTGCGGTGTAATTGCAGTGGGCGGCCATTTGAAGATTGGAAGTGTGGCAGTGGCATGATTTCCTTCATATAGTCAGTAGAGTGACCTGGAGAAAGAAGTCTTTGGGACGGGGAGCAGGAAGTGTGCCGGTGCGTGTGAAGGTCCAGCAAGGAGGGTGCTGGTAGTTCAGGGGGAGGTCATGGGGTGGCAGAGACCACCCTGCAGTGACCAGATCATCCTCGAGGGTCAGCCCTCTCTTCCCCAGGGCCACTGTGGCTCAGGCTACAGCCTCTGAACTGGCCTTCCTGGCACCAGATGTTCCTGCAGTGAGACCTCACCAACTCTTACTGTCCCACCCTGCACGCACCCCGCTCACTGCCTGCAGGGAATGTGCTTGCAACTCGTCTGTGGCACCAGGGATATGGGCCTGGCCTCCTTCCATGTCTCCTGGTGTCCTGCCATCCCCAAGCCTTCCAGCTGCCCCAGGAAGTGATGCTGTGTGTGGATGCCATTCCCGTCCTCGGGCCCCGGGCTCTGGGGCTGGGCTGTGAGAACGCACAACATCAGGAACCTCCTGGCTCTTTCATACTAGACTATACTCCTAGAAGACTAGACCAGCTGCATTCTGGATCCCCAGGCCACTGCCCAGGTCTGGCACTCAGCTAGGGCCAAGAAGGTCTCCATTACGAGCCCTCCCAGTGTTTGAAGGGCGACTGGCTTGCAACTAAGACAGCCGGCCACAGCGTATATTCTGTATATTGTCAGAAGTATATTCTGACAGCTGGAGAAGGGCAGCCCTGCAGAAGGGACTGAATGGAGACTCTCCTCTTTCAGGTTTCACTGAGGCCCTGCAGCCCATGCGGGGACTCCTGCATTCCTGGGCAGCTGCAGGCATCTTGTGTGGGACTGGACCAGGGTATGATCGGTGGCTGGCTATGCCATGCTAGCCTGGGTCTGATGGGCTGGAGAGGAGGGAGACAGTCTCTTAGGAGGAATTTGTGCCCCTGGCCTGCCGTTTCCTCCTGTCCCTGGCAGAGTGGAGCTCATTTGTCCTCCTTGGTGTTGGGCGAGGTTGGAGAGGGGGCCTCGGAGAGCCTGCTAGCTTGGGAGAGGTTCCAGGGGCGCACGCATGGCGGGAAGGACAGGGTGAGGCCAGGTCTGGGAAGGGGGGTGAATGTGAGTGACCTCGGCCATCTCCAGGGATTGGCAAGGTGGCAGTGACATGTAGACCCCATAGAGGAGGGGCCTGCCATGGTCGTGCCTTTCAAGCAAAGGCACTGACTCAGTGGAGGGGTGAGCTGCCCATGTTCCAGCACTAAGGGCTCAATTCCCAGCCCAGGGCAAGTGGGGCAGGGGCCCTGTGCTAGGTGTGGATGGGAGGCGAGACTGTGTAATAAGTGGGTCTGGGGTTGGGGCTTCATGCTTGGCAGGGTAGAGGGGCAGGGCTGTGTGCTGGGTGGGGCTGTATGGAGGGGCAGGGCCATGTGCTCTGTGGGGCTGTGTGATGGCTGGGGCTGTGTGTGATAGATGGGTCTGGGGGTGGGACTTCGTGCAGGCAGGGTCCTCTGATGGGTGGGTCTGGGGCCTGGCCATGTGTAAGGCAGGGATCGGGCTGAGGTGGTGGTACCCTGTGCTTGCTGGGCTGCAGCTGGGTGGGGCTCTGGGACTGTCTGCTCCAGAAGGTGTTGCTAGGTGGCATCTGTGACAATGGGGGCCTTTCCTGCTGCTCTCCCTGGAGCCAGGGAGCTGGGTGGGTGAGTAGCGTTGAGGAGGAGAGAGTTGGAGCTGGTGGGCCTGCAGTCTTGGCTGGGCGTCTCGTGTGCTTAAACTTTCTGGTCTCATCTGGAAGGTGGTGTCTCACTGGGCCACGCAGGAGTGAGGAGACAGGCCGAGGCTACCAGGTAAAGCAGGGCTGCGGTGAGAGAGGCCCTGTTTTCTCTCAGAGCCTTAACAGTACATGGCTGGCCTTGGCGAGCCTGCACGGCTGACTTCAGGTCTTCTTGTCCTTGTTACTTTCTGGCTTCAGGGCAGTGTAGGATCAGCCGGGTGAACTTCAACAAAGCAGACATTTGTGTTGTGGTTTATCAGTACGGCCCCTCAGGTGACGATCCACACTCCCTGCCATGCTCCCTGCCTTGCCCCAGCGCAGGCCGGCCCCACCCACCCTCCCTTGGAGCCCACATTCTCCTCTGCTGCTGCCAGGTCAGCCAAGACCGCCCGTTGGGCACTGCTGTTTCTGCGGCCTGCACTGCCCTCCTCTCCCTGCTCTTAGCCAGGCCCCTCACTCCACCTTGTCGCCGGTTTGATTGTCTTT